TGCTGAACCCACCGAGGGGGCAGGGCAGCTGCCCTCCTGCCCACAGAGGGAGTGGGTGGGGGTCCTGCCCCCTCCCAGAGCTGCCCTGACCCTCACCAGCGACACAGAGTCAGGCTCCTCTGACAGCTCCTTCAAACTTAAGCTCTTCTTACTGGAAACCTGGAGGGGAGAAAGAAACGGGCGTTATGGTGCCACCTCTGCCTGCTCCCACCTGAACCAGAAAATGTTTCTGGTGACTCCATGAAAAGCAGCCACTTAATATTTCTGAGTGTGGGGATTTTGTGGGTGAAGAAAAGCATCTGGCAGAGGATGGGAGCCCCCCATTGCTGCCTCCTGCTGCTGAAAACCCTATGAGGCCACAGCTGAGCAGGGGGTTCCTGCAGCAGTCTCAGCTCCCAGCAGACGGGATGAACCATCAGAGGGGTTAAAAAAAAAAGGGAACATCTGGGCAGAGCCCAGTACATTCCAAAGAATAAATTCCCCCAGTTTGGCAACGGTGCTGAGTCATCCAAATCACCACCCTGGCACAGCTGGCAGACACCCCTCTGGGCAGGAAAGAGCTCTGGCACTGCTTCCCACGTGCTTCAAAGGCAAGGAAGAGGAGGTCCCCACAATCTCCCTCTCCAGCTCGAGGACTGACGGATTTCTTCCCTCCTCAAGCTTTTAAATTCAAGTTTGTTTGTTTTTTTAACTTGATACCATTTTCCCACCCCTTAAAACTTCAGATCTAGGGAAAAGGCAGTGATGTGCAGAGTGGCAGAACTAGTATTACTACCAGATTATAAATAATTCATATACACGCCCAGGGAGAGCAGAAACTCTGGGCTCTGGCTCTGTCATCCATGACCCAGAAAAGGCCAGAAGTGGCTCATGGGGACAGGATATGCCCAGGGCACGGCTCCTGCCCCTCTTCCCATCCCTTGCTGTGCAGCAAGGACACTGGAAAGAGGCAGCAGGACTCCAGGGAGGGCTTTGGGAGCAGTCCAAAGCCTTGGTGTGAAGAGCTCTGCTCCCTGAAATGCAGCCCAAGGGGTGCGTGCGGAGCCCTGCGGCCACCAAAAAGCCATTGGACAGAGGGTACCTGCAGGTGTGTGCAGACTCTCCTCAGGACATCATAGACACTGTCACGGGAAATAAGGGACACGAAGATGTACTGCAAGAGAAAGAGAAGCTGCCAGGAGAGAATCCCCCACCCCGAGTCCGGTTCTCCACGCACAGGGACAGGCAGAGACGTCCTGCCCTTGAATCTCCCCAGTTCGGGAGCCACGTCCCCCCTGCAGACATCTCCCTGCAGAGTTTCCCTGCTGCTATTTTTGCAGCCTGCTAAAACCTGGACCAGATTTTTTTGGGGCCAGTTTCACTCCACTGCTGTTCCCACGGGACCTCTCACACTCAGCCCAGAGGGATGCGGCAGCAAACAGGGCTTGTGAGCAAAGGAAAACATCCCCATGGATCTGCACGAGGGGAGACAGGGCAGTGCTCACCTCACCCCATGCAGAGCAGCCTTGCAACCAGGTCACTCTGAATGCCCAAATCCTGCCTCGTGCCATCCCACAGGAAATAAACCCTCCCAAAATCCTGGCACAGGACCAGCACGGTGGCATGAGCAGCCCCCGGGCAGGCAAGGATTGGGACACACAGAGCAGGACTGTGTCAGTTCACTGTGGCAAACAACACCCGCCGTGATTTAAAAGCTGGAAATTCAGCCCCTTAATCACATTTTCCACCAGCCCAGGTCAAAGAGCAGCCCAATCCCCTCCCCTGCCTGCATGTTTAAGGAGTTTAGAGGTTTTATTTGAGCCTGGCAGGGATTTGCTGGGCTCAGCTGAGTTTCACTGGGGCTCTGCTTAGCCCAAAGCAAAGTGAAATTCAGAACCTAAAGCAGAGCCACGGTGTTTGCCCTGGGCAGCTGCCAGCAGGGAGAGCAGCACTCGCTTCCACACTATCAGCCAGGGATGGGAATTGCTTCCTTCCCTGCTCTCAAATCACAGCCAGCTCTGGCCGGGGACTGGTGCTGGAAGCACTGGTGTTACCTTCCTGCTGGCGGTGGTGGTGATGGCCAGGCCATTGGGCAGCAGCCGAGCTGTCTTGTGCTTCTTTATCAGCTGTACGGAAACCACCGGGATCACAACCTGGAGGGCAAAACAGACACAGGGAGGGGCAGGGATGGGCACAGCACAAGCTCAGGGAGTTTCTTTCGCAAGGCAAAGATTGAAGAGGCATCATAATTATGCTCCGAGCAGAGCAGTGACGCAGGGGTTCAGCATTTCACCAGGACAGGCTGGTTTTACTAAAGGTCACAGCATCCCCCGGTGTTAATCTCAGCTTGGAGGCAGTTTCTACTTAATCAAAACAAGGAGGACACAGGGAGAGAATCACCCAGGCCCATCAGAAGAGAGCCCCTGCAAGCCCAGGGAGGGTTAAAAATAAAGCAAGATGTAATTTATGGCAGGAGAACTTCACTGAAACCCTGTAATTCCATCAGATATTTGTTTAAAGCAGCTGATATAAATAATTCAGTTCTTCAGCCCAGTTTTGAAGGAAGTCATCTCTCCCCAATATCCCCGTCAGCCACAAGACTAACAGGGAAACATCAGACTGTAAATCAAGAAAAGCCAAGAGAGATTCAAATCTAACCCCCCCAAATCTTTGATCTTCATTCAAACACCGTTGCAGCTTGTAGAAGGTTTTGCATCAGGGAATTTTAAACAAAACCAATATTTGGTTTCCTTGCAGGTGATGGGGGGGGGAGGCACAGCCACACTGCCCTGCTCATCAGAGGCTTTGGGCAGTGATTTGGGGGGTATTTGGGTGTGGGAGGGGATAAGTGGGCTGCAGCATACCCTGGGCTATGACCCTGTGGCATCAGGGTGGGCTGGCCCCCATGTTACCTTGATGTCCTTCCCGAAAAGGTTTGCGTAGAAGCAGAGCCAGTTGGGGGAGATGTAAAGCCTTCCCTGGATGAGGATGTCTCTCTGGAGGGCGCAGGAGCAAACTGCAAGGCAGAGAGAGGGGCATGGCAGACCCTGTGCCACATCCTGCCACCCCTGTACCCGTCCCTCGCCGTGCCACCCACCTTTCAGCACGCTCTCCTCCGTCGGGATGTCCTTGAACAGCTTGTGGTACTGGGAGTTGTACTTGCTAGCGGCCTGAAAATGAAGCGGAGCAAAGTTATCGGGTGACCTTGCTGATAAGCAGACCCAAAAAGCACCCTCCCAACAAAAAAAAACCCCAAAACCAAGCCTCCCTCTTCCCGCACCCGGGGCCGGCACCGCGGGGTCCCCCCGGGCTGGGAATGATGTCCCCGAAGGGCCAGAGGAGGGCGGGATGAAGCAGCACCCAGCACAGGCTGCGCCATCCGCACACATCAACATTTCCCCTAAGATCTGAGGAGGCTGCTGAGCATCTGCCAGGAGCCAGTTTTCTCCCAGGCTCATCCACAGGCAATTTATGTTGCCCAGTTGTTTCCCTCCTCCTCCAGCTCTTCCCAGATTCGGGACACGGTGACAGCACTTGCTTTGCGCCCATCGTGCCGCGCCATCTGCCTATTTATATCCCCAGCGCCTCTTCAAAGCAGCCGCGGCGGGACGCTCGGCAGGTTGCTCCTTAAACCATTCTGTACGGAAGGTAAAGGCTCCGAGGCAGCTCAAGGCTTTGCATTCAATCCATTCAGCTGATCTGTGCCCCCGCCCCGGAGGAGGCAGCACCCCGGGGACACAGCTGTCCCCCAGGGTGGGGACCACAGGCTGAAATCCAAGGGATGGGATGCTCTGGGGAGGTGGAGAGGCCCAGCGCAGCTGGAAGGACCGCGGGGCAGCCAGGCTGGTCTGCAGCACTGCAGGCAGAGCCCTCCTGCCCATGGTGACAAGGTCACCTTTGTTCCATGCACCTTGTCACCCGATTAGCCGGGCTGTAAGAGGATCAAGGCTCAGCAGCACCTGGGCTCGGCTCAGACACTCCCTGGGAAGGGGCCAGGACGGCGTGGGGGACAGTGTGAGCGTGTCAGGGGGACACGGCAGGACACAGGAAGGGACTGTGGCTTCACCACCAAGAAAAACCCCCCAGCCACAGCACAAATCAATTGCTAACCCCATAACTGGAGGCTTCACCTCCAGCTCCCACAGCCCACATCTCAGTGTCCAGCCAGACACCTCTGGGGCAAATGTCCAGGTCAGGCTAGAAAAAACCAGCCCGTTGGCTCATGACTTACCACTTCCCGGTGGCATTTCTTGATGTCTTCATCCTTCAGGGCTTCATTCAGGTGGAGGCTGGAAGGAAAAATAATAATCATCAATAAAGTGAAGAGCCCCAGGTCTCCTGCTTGCTCCTGAAAGCCCATGTGCTGCAGGAAGAGACAGGGCAAGATGAAGAAGGCTGAGGAAACCATGGGAAGCCACATTTTGGAAATCTCCGTGATTTATTGTAGCATTGGGCATTGGTGAGGTTATATAATGGCTGCAGGAGAAGGCTGATCTCTGTGTGATTCAATATTTGAGGGTGAAAACAAAAAGGGGACCCCTGTGCCCATCTGGGGACTCAGAGGCAGCAGGGATGCTGCAGGAGGTAGAAAAAGGAAGGAAAAAGAGCAAACACTTGACCACAGCCCTAGAGATCCTGCCCCTCACCTGCCGTCGAGGGAATCCAAACTCTTCTCCTTGTGGGATGCCTCCAGTTTCTCACGGCCGTGCATGGGCTCAGGGCTCTTCAGGGGAGCTGCTTTTTCATGCATCAGCTTGGCACTGCAGGAAGAAGCCCATTAGCCTCCGAGGGGAAGAGAGAGAGGTGAGGGATGCATTTCAGAGCTATAAATCCCTTCAACCCCAGACGTTCATATCTCGGCCACTCAAGGACAGCGGGAATGTTTCTGCGATATCTCAAGTCACACGGAGGAAAAAAAGGACATTTCTTGCCAGGAACTCCCTGGCACTTGCAACCCAGTGGCCAAGGAGCAGCAGCTCCCTCCCTGCTGCCTCAGATAACATCTCTCCAAAGCAGAGCCTCTCCTCCTCCAGAGAAGAAAGTTGGGATGGGAAAAATCACAGGTTTACAAAACGCCCCGGGATGATGGAGCTCTCAGCCAGCAAGGGGCAGGGTCTGCTCCTCTGGGTGGGCAAAGCACCATCTTCCCAGGGCAGAGCCCGTGCCGAGGGCACCACCTCCCTCCTGGAAGTGCTCCCCTCTCGTTAAAGCCCGTTATTTACTATGAGGAGTTTTATCAGAGGCTTATCAGCCATGACAGGTAAAGCAAACAGGCTCCCCGTGCCTGCAGGGAAGGTTATCGCCCAGCGGGCCACAGAGGTGACACTTCCGCCCTCGGCAAACTGCCACCAGACTGTCAGGCCACAGCTCTCCTGGCACCGAGCGCCAACGCGGAGCCTGATCCCAGGGGATCGATGCTGGAGCCCTGATCCAGGATGAGCCAGTGTGGGAGGCTCACAGGCAGCTCAGGGCTACGGGTTCTGGCAGCGCGGCCAGCGGATCCACGGAGAGGAAACGGTTCCAGGGAAAAGGGTTGGCTGGAGGGGCAGGGGGGGATGGCAGAGCAGGTGGGGACAGGCAGGATGGCAGCAGGCAGGATGGCAGCAGGCAGGAGGAGCACCAGCAGGCAGGATGGCAGCAGGCAGGAGGAGCACCAGCAGGCAGGATGGCAGCAGGCAGGAGGAGCACCAGCAGGCAGGACAAGCACAGAGCTGGAGCCCGTCCCGGTGCCCACGGGGACGATGCCGCAGCGCTGCGGCAGAGCCCGGGTGGAGAAGCCATCCCAAACCCTTCCTGAAGAAAGAGAGGGGCTCTTTTGCTGCCCCATGCTTCCCTATATACATCCTGCCCCTAGGGGCTTGTCCAAAGGGAAACCCATCTAAATCATCCCTCACTGACTCAGGGAGAGCCACGATGGAGGGGCTGCACCCCGACACCCAGCACCCAAACAGGCTGAGAGTCAGAGCTGCAGCAGCCCCCGTGTCCCTGCAGCCTTGACATGCAACAGAGCCAGGTTGAATCCTAGCTGGAGGCCTGGGAGATGCCCCCTCAAGACACAGCACGTACGTGGGGCTGCAGAAAAACTGGGCACAAGTCACTGGTGCTAGACAGTTAGGGATGGGCTGGGAAGCAGCTCCCGGGTTACCAAAGACCAAAACAAACAAGCTGCCCACACAGCCCCAAAGCATCACAGGGATGGGACAAAGACACTGAGGTTGTGGGGTTTTTTAGGAGAAGCTCAGGTCACAGGATGTGTCTGGAAGGGAATGGAGACTCTTCTGACAAGAAGCACTAAAATAACATCTCTTGACATCATGCCCTGCCTGATTCCTCTGACATCCTGTGCCTTCAGGACAGTTGGTCCTGTGCTGCAAACTTCCCCTGCCAGCTGATGCCATGCTGTCCTGAAGCCAGAACTCGTCCCACAGAAGTACCAGAGCCTTCCCCTCCCCTCACACTCATGCTGAAAAAGAGGTTCCTTCTCCCACTCCAGCTTCCCCCACGTCACCCCTTAAATCCCCAAGCCAGTTGCTCCGCTTAATCCGGGTGAGCGGATTTATCCCCATCCGGGGCTGACACCAAGGAGCACCATGTGGGGGCTGGGCAGAGACACCCCCTGCTTCAGAACCACCCCCGAGGTCACCAAACACACACACATATCCCCTAAAACAAGAAAAGCCAGAGGTTGGGGAACACCTGGAAGGGCTGCACAGTCCCATCCCGCTTTTCTCCCCCTCAGGGTCACTGCCAGAGACAAGTCCCAGGTCAGATGGTCCCCAGAGACGGGTCTGGCACTGGGTGACTCCAGGGAGGATCTGGGGCTGCAAGGAGCATCCTCAGCCCCAGGGGAGAGGCTGCCAGTGGCTGCCTTGTCTCCCCTTCTCCAGGTCTCACTCCGTGCTGGCTCCCAGCTGTGGCAGGGATCACAGTCCAGCGTTTGGGAGCACAGGGTAAGTTTGGGCTCCAGGCACAGCTGATAGGGAAGTCCCCCTGCCAAGAGACACTTCCAGCAGTGGCACAGGGAGGAAAACACTTCCACATCCTCTCCCTCCTGGAGGAATTTTTTTTTAGCAGGAAAAACCACCATCCTTCTCATCCCAAACCACAAGCAGGACAAGCACGGCGGGAGCAGGGAGCCTCCAAGAGAAGGCAGGGGATGGGCACAGGAGTCCCCAGCAAAGGGCACATCTTGGCAGCGACCTGCTGACCCCTGCCCGTGGTACCGGGGCTGACACCCCCCCCCAGGACCCCCAGCACCGGGGCTGACACCCCCCCCAGGACCCCCTGCCCGCCTCCCGGGCTGCAGCTTTGCCAGACGAAGCCCCGGGCTGTCCCCACC